CAAGGATCGGATGCAGAGAATGCGCTCGACGTGGTGCACATCGACCTCCGCGGAGGGGAGTTCCTCGGTCGAGACTTCACCGAGGGCATCCTCCACAATCTAATCTGCCCCTATACTCCGCAGCAGAACGGGATGGCAGAGCGGGAGATGCGTACGGTCGTCGAGAACGTGCGGACGATGCTGCTTCACATGGGCGTGAAGCACCACTAGTTTCACCTTGCTCTGCGATAGGCCGTCTGGGTGCGGAACTGCCTCGAACGGGCGTCTCTGCCTTCACGGACGACGCCGCACGAGCTGCTGTTCGAGAAGAAACCGGATTTGACGCTGGCGCAAGTGGGGGGCTGCATGGTGCAGTTCATGGTCCCTGAGCAGCAGCGCGGCGGGAAGCTGGCGCCGAAGGCCCGGTGGGGCCTTCATCTTGGTGTGTCGCAGGAGAGCAAGGGCTGGGAGGTGCTCGACCTCACCCACAACAAGGTGGTGACGACCGTAGAGGCCATCTTCTACGAAACAATGTCACTTGAGGCGTGGAAGGCAGAGCACGGCCCCAATTCGACGCGGAAACCTGCTGTCGCGCCGACGGATCTGCCGAAGACGGCGTCGCCGTCGGCCACCGGCGATGAGGGGAGCATTGCTGCGTCGCCTTCGGCGCCGGCTGGTGGCATCGCTGGCGGCCGACGTGACGAGATGCACCTCGGCGGCCGAGTTCATAAGCCGTCGACGACAGGGGAGCGCCGGTCAGCGGAGCCGGTAGAGGAGGAGCCAACAGAGGCGAAATTGGCAGAGGAGCCGACGGCAGAGGAGAAGTCGGCAGAGGAGACGCCGACATAATCGAAGTCGGCAGAGGAGCCGATGGCAGAGAACCAGCTCGACGATGACGCGTCGAGCGACGTCGTAGAAGTCCTTGGCGGCGAGGAAGGGGAGCTGTCAGTAGGGGAGCAGTCCGACGACAGCGACGTGGTGGAAGTCCCGGTCGAAGAAGTGAACCTTAGGTGTTCTTCCCGCCCCAACCTCGGTAGGCCCGCAGAGAATCTGAGCTACCATGCCTATCTACCATCGACCTCCTACAGCACACTGCTGGACGACGCAGAGGACGACGTCAACCTGCCCGAACTCGACCCCGACATGCACGCCGACCCGGAACATCGCTGGGACATCGCGACGATGACGGTGAAGGAGGCGTTGGCGAGCTGGAAGGGGAAGGCCGTGAAGGCCGCCATGGACGAGGAGATCAAGAGCCTCATCACCAACGGGACGTGGGAGCTGGTCGAGCGTCCACGCGGCGTCAACATCATGAAGAATCGCTGGGTGCTTACGACGAAGTACCACGTCGACGACACGGTCGGCCGTGAAGGCCCGCTTGGTCGTAAAGGGCTTCACGCAGGTCTACGGCACAGACTACGACGAGACGTATGCGCCGGTGGGGAGCTACGTGACTCTGCGATCTTCCTCAGCATCGTAGCAGTCCTCGACCTGCACCTGATGCAGCTCGACATGAAGAACGCATTTCTGCAGAGCAAGCTGGATCTCGTCCTCTACATGTACCAGCCCGACTACTACAATGACGGCACCGGCCGCGTCTACAAGCTGCTGAAGAGCTTTTACGGGCTAAAGCAGTAGCCGCTACTGTGGTACAAGGCGCTCGACGACGTGCTGACTGGCGCGAACTGGAAGAAGAGTCAGGTCGACGAGGCTCTCTACTTCAAGGTCGGTGACGACGGAATGGCGTGCTGGGTGCTCGTCTACGTCGACGACCTGCTTGCTGCAAGCAGCAGCACTGCGATGCTGAAGGAGCTGCTGGAGGCCGCCTTTGAGCTGCGCGATATCAGCCCGGTCGAGAAGTATCTGGGGCTGGAAATCGTGTGCGACAGGCCTGCGAGGAAGCTGTGGCTTCACCAGCTAGTCTACGTCGACAAGCTGCGTCGGCGTTTCATCGACGAGGAGCAGACCGGGCGCGTGCCGAAGACGCCGGTCTCCGTCGACGCTTACGCAGAGCTGACATTCGACGACAAGGTTGCGCAGTCACTCGAAGAGGAGAAGTATCGGCAGAAGGTCGGCTCGCTGCAGTTCGCGGCGACGACAATGAGGCCGGACATTGCCTTCGCGTGCAGCAAGCTGGGGAGCGGCCTGACAGTGCGGAGCGACGACCACTGGCGCGAAGTCGACCGTTGTCTGCACTACCTCGCAGACACCTGTGACGCCGCTCTGGAGTTCGGCGGTGGAGCAGAGTCGCTGTGTCTGGTCAGCTATGCGGACGCCGATGACGCTGGGGACAAGCAGAATCGGACGAGCACGGGCCGCATGTTCATCTTCGGAGGTGCCGCAATCTCATGGTCGAGCCAGCGCATCAAATGCGCGACGCTCTCGTCGACCGAGTCTGGGTACGTCGCGGCCACGGAAGCTGGCAAGGAGGCCCGTCGCCTTCGGTTCCTCCTCGCAGAGTTCCAGCTGCTTGATGCTGGAGAGCCGACTGTGCTGCATGTGGACAACTAGTCGGCCATCACAGTCGCAGAGGGCTTGGGGCTCAAGGGCAACCTCAAGCACATGGAGCGTCGATGTGCCTGGCTGCAGCATATGGTGAAGCGCCGGAAGATTGCTCTGTAGGACATCCCGACCTCCGAGCAGCCGGCCGATTTTCTGACAAAAGCGCTGCATTTTCCGGCTTTCAACCGGTACTCCATCGCAATCGACCAAGTGCGTCTGGCCGACGGCGACGGTGATGACAAGGTGCAGCAGTAGGCGTCGTGCCCTTCTGCACGGCTGGTGCGGTGACGTGCGTGATGTGTGTTGGGTGCACGCAGACAAAGTTTCTCCTTGTATTCTATCCCTTGGGTCCTGGGTAGACCTAGTGTGTGGGGTGCCCAAGCGTGTGCTCGGCAGGGGAGTGTTGACGGGAATTGGCCCCGCCCTCGCTTGGGCGAAGCAGCCTTCGCAGTCGGGGGGGCGCGCAGAAGTCGGCGTAGAATGCGCGCAAAGTTCGACCTCGACCTGTCCGTATAGTTCGACCTCGACGAGTCCGCAGAGGACGCTGGTCGACGAGCTCGCAGAGGACGCGGTCGACAAGGTCGCAGAGGACGCGGTCGCAGAGGAAGCTGGTCGACGAGTCCGTCGAGGAGTTCGGTTCGACGGAACCTGGTCGGTAGAGGAGCTCCTCGACGAGGCCGGTAGAGGGCTCGTCTCGGCGAAGGCTGTTCGACGGAGGAGCGTCGAACCACCCGACCGAAGCTGCTCGTCTATGAAGGTCGCAGATGTGCGCGAACTTCGCCTCAGGAGGTTTTCGCGAAGTCAACCTATGGAACGGCATCACGTGCTCGACGGTGCACCGCTGGCGAAACCGTCGTCACGTGTTCTACCTGGCACCTGCGCAATGTGCCTGGCGGCGCGACCGTCTACCTCCACCTACTTGGTAGGTGCGCACATGCGCAGAAGTTCACCTGCCTCTGCGGCGCTGCCAGACCGCTACTATGCAAGGCTGGCAGACTACTCTGCTGCAGCGTTGGCAAGCCGCTTTTCTGCTGCGCAAGCATAGTTCGCCCTACAGAGGGCTTGCTAGGTGTTGCAATGCCATTCTAGATATATCGACTTGCATGCCTCATTGTAATCCAATGTTCTCTCAATGTCTTAGTGAAACTCTTGCCATAATTTCCTTTTGAACCTAGCAAGTAGTGAGAACGCCTAGTGCAACGCTATGATCACCCGCACAACCCTGTGCCTTCCTCCGTAGTCCACTCCTGTTGTGTAAAGGGCAGCTTCTGAGATAGCTCACTGATGTCGGAGTAGCGCCTTGCAGGGCCTCCATTCTGGCCTGAGTCTGGCGAGCACGATGGTAACGAATATTTCTTCATAAATGATGTTCCCGTGTTGCGCGATCTGGTCGCGGATGCTTCGACATCGATTAATGTATGAATCCCCTTTCTCCGTGTGCCTCATATTTATCTCCATTGATTATTGCAGGATTTTGCTCAACGACACTAAATCCTTCGGCTGGTATAGCTTCGTGATCATCTCCATGCTTCTAGTGATGGAGCCGGTGTTTCCTTGAAGGAACGGATGCCGAGTTGCCCTGCGGGCACCTTCATTTGTGTTAGTATGCTGTACGCCATGAGTGACTCGGTGTAGTACTGAGTTCTGGTGTATTCGGTTTTTGTCACCGGGCATGAGTAGGAACCGTCGAAGTAGTGATAGATTTGTGCAATTTATAGTAGTAACACCAATTCAAAGCTCCAAGTATAGAAACCTTTCCCTTTAGAGACGGTACTTGTCTTAATCTTTGAGATGTTAACGAACGTTGATTAAGCTGCCAAGATGGCATCATCACTTGGGCAGGGGGCTTTTGGTGTTGAGTTGTTTGTGTCGAAAGAAAAAGGTTTGCGGGGCGGTTTCGTGGACAGTTGTGACTGGTTGAGTAGGTTAAGAAGAGGTTCCCACGTCACCATTCCGCAATGTTTGGAGCCCTTGCTCCAAGTTGATAGTCGTTGAAGTAGCCGCTCGAGGGCGGCGGTGCTTATCATAGTCGTCGCCTCTGATGTCGCAGCACGGTCCCAAAGAATCACCGAGTCGCTCTCATACCATGTTACGATCCCACGGGGGACCTTGCCCGAATCAGGCTCAGGGTTGAATGCACAGTGAAATTGCAGCGGAAACTGAAACGGCATGGCTAGCCTGAGAAGAGTGAAGAACGAGGATGATGAACTATGAATGAGGTGAGTACATATAGAAAACCCTAATTGGGTTGTACCCCCTATGGGATACCCCACTATAGCCTACACAACAGCATAAGCTATATAATGTTCTGACACACCCCCATAGGCAAAGTGGGGGAGAACAAGGGGTCACAAGACCAGTCAAGCAAAGCAGAGCAAGCTCAGGGTGGATCACAACGTCACCACACAGTCCGAGCACAACGACAAGGCCACAAGGCCAGTTCACATGCAGGAGTACACATATATATATAGAGCTAGACAAGCAAGAGCAGGTATATATATGTGACAGTACAAGTAAGGTCAAGAGGAGAGCAAGTGAGGCAAGACAGGTACAAGACCCAGCTGAGTGCAGAAGCGCTGATGGTCACAAGGCGCAAGTGCCTTGGTGAACACATCAGCAGTGTTGGCCTGAGAGGCCACGTACGCAAGTCGCAACTGACCACGCTGCTGCAGCTCACGAGCAAGAAAGTAACGGAGAGCAATGTGCTTCGTTCTGTGCTCCAAGCGCTGCTCTCGACACAAGGCCAGCATGGCCTTGTTGTCTACGTACGGCACTGGAGGAGAACGAGGCGGCTCTCCAAGGTCAGTCAGCAGGTAGGTGAGCCAGCGAAGCTCCTGTGCAGCCATGGCCCCGGCGTAGATCTCAGCCTCACAACTGGAGCCGAGAACAGAGGACGAGCGAGTAGCTCGCCACGAGACAGAGCCGGAACCAAGACTGAAGGTGTAACCCTGCGACGACCGCTGCGTAGCCTGGTCGTCAGCCCAAGAAGCGTCCGCGTGCCCAGTGAGGACCACTGGACTCCGCCCTCCAAGCACTAGTCCCATGCCCGACGTACTGCACAAGTATCGCAACACCCTCTTCGCTGCAGCCATGTGCTCTGGTCGGTGTCTCCCAGGAGCAACATAGCGTGCAAGAATGCTAAGAGGGTATGCAAGGTCAGGTCGTGTGCAGGTCATCAGGTACATGAGGCAGCCAACAAGCTCTGGATACGGGCCACTCGACTCTACGGACTCATCCGAAGGCAGAGCTGAGAGTGAGTGGCGAGTAGGCAGAGGAGTGGCCTGAGGCGAGGAGTACGTGAAGCCGAAGCGCTGAAGGACCTGCTGCACCATGTGTGACTGAGTCAGGGTAATGGTGCGGCGTGCTCTGTCCCGGGTGATCTGCAAGCCAAGGTAGCTGCGCAGTTCACCCAGGTCTGTGCACGTGTGTCTCTTCTGCAGCTCGGACTTCACGTGGGCGAGTCCAGCAGTGTCAGCTGTGGCAAAGACCAAGTCGTCGACGTACACGAGGATGTAGAACTGCGGCAGAGAGGTGTCGGTGCGTAGAAACAGCGACGGGTCGGCAGTAGAAGGAGCAAACCCAAGAGCCGCAAGCGTAGTCCTCAGTGTGTCGTGCCACTCACGTGGCGCCTGGCGGAGACCGTAGACTGGACGCCGGAGACTCCACTGGGTACCAGGAGGGAAAGACCCAGTGAAGCCAAGTGGGCGGCGCAGCCAGATCGTGCAGGCTGCCCTGCAAGAAAGCAGTGCTGAAGTCGAGAGAGTGCAGCTCGTAGTCACGGTGAGCAGCAACGTGTAGCAGCACCCGAAGAGTGGTCATCTTCGGGGTGGGGGAGAAGGTCTGAAAGTAGTCAACTCCCTGTCGCTGACTGAAGCCACGAGCCACGTAACGTGCCTTGAAGACAGGCGGAGAACCCGGCGGCCGCTTCACCCTGAAGATCCACATGCCACTGACGATGTTCGCCCCAAGAGGGGGGACAGCGTCAACGTAGGTGCCTGTGGACTTCCAGGAAGCCATCTCTGCATCCATAGCTGCCTGCCACTGAGAGGAGTAGGGACCCTCTATCGCCTCCGCGTAAGAGCGCGGAGTCGGGATGTCAAGTGCATCCGGGTCTCCCTCAGGGGTAAGCAGTACGGACACGAGATGAGGTGAAGCAGCTGCCAGACACTGGAACTCCTCCTGCCTGTCCTCAAGGACGTCCGTGCCAAGGGCACACTCACCCCCGACTGACGGAGGACAGGCAGACCCAGACTCAGCGACAAGACTAGCAGCGTAGTCTAGGCGACAGCGAGCAGCAAAGTCGACGAGCTCAGTAACTAGGGCAGACGCAGCAGTAGACTCGAAGGAAGGGTCAGTGACGACAGTAGCAAGGAGACGCGTGACAGTAGGACTGGCAGCACGAAGAGAGTCCGACGCAGGGTCGGGAAGAGCAGGAAGAGAGGACTCAGGAGGAGAAGGCAAAGGGGCACGCAGAGGAGCAGTAGACGGACGCAGAGACATCCTGTGCGTGCCAGGGACAGGAGGAGGACGCTGACGCGAACCACGACCACTAGCGCGAGCAGCACGGACAGGCGACGCAGGGCGAGACGCAGGCTCACGACGCTCAGTAAGACCTCCAGTAGGACCAGTGTAGGGAGAAGGAGCAGGCAAAGGGGAGGTAGGCTGTAGCAGTGACCGCGACGGGACAGGTTGTGGACCCTCCAAGAGAGGAGGAGGACCAGGAGAGGGCGGAAGACCAAGAACCTGGTGCAGGAGTGGAACGAAGTACGGTCGAGGCCGCGTAGCTACGCCAGAAACAGCAGGGACAGCACCAGTACCCCCAGCAGGAGCACCCGCTCCAGCAGCACCTCCAGTAGCTCCAGAACCTCGAGCAACACCAGGAGCACCCCCAGCAGGACCGCCAGTGGTAGTCTCAGCGCCAACACCCTCAGCAGCACCAGCTCCAGTCGAACCCGCAGGCCCAGCAGCTCCAGTACTCCCAGTACGAGCACCTCCGGGACCCGCAACAGCAGCACCCTCAGTAGCCGACGAACCTCCAGCACCAGCAGCACGGCTCCAGCGCCGGGCAAACCACTCGCGCAGCTCCTGTGGAGAGAGTGGCTCCCGGCGAGACAAAGCACGCGTAGAAACTCGAGGCGGAGGACCTCCAGGCGCAGCACTCCCAGGTCCAGCACCCCCAGGCAAAGCACTCCCAGGCGTAGCACCCCCACACTCAGCACCCCCAGGCTCAGCACCCCCAGGCTCAGCACCCCCAGGCTCAGCACCCCCAGGCTCAGCACCCCCAGACTCAGCACCCCCAGACTCAGCACCCCCAGGCTCAGCACCCCCAGGCCCAGCACCCCCAGGCCCAGCACCCCCAGGCTCAGCACCCCCAGCAGCACCAGAGTCACCAGTGACCTCGACAGGCTCGACTGCGTCTACCTGGGACACACCTGAAGGGGCAGGACCCTGAGGGGGGAGGGGGTCTACCGGGGGGGGACCTGGTACAAGGAAGAGCGGGGGCGGGGGGGGGGGACGGAGTGCGGTAGGGGAAGAGGCGGTAGTAGGGTACCGACTCGTCGAACGTGACGTCCTGAGAGGACAGAACACGGCGAGAGGTGGGGTGGTAGAACTGCCACCCAGGCGCGTCTGGGGGGAACCCCAGGAAGACGCAAGGAGCAGCACGAGGGGACAGTTTGTCCGCAGACAAGTCGCGGACAAACGCCCGAGATCCCCAGACCCGGAACGCCGACGCATCGCCCACCTTCCCGGTCCACAGCAAGGCTGGGGAGGTCTCCGGCCTGGAGACCCTGGGGTGAAGGTTGATCTGACGTGCCGCGTACCTCACCGCAAACGGCCACAGAAAATGGGGGGCAGCCGCATGCATCATAGACGTACGAGCGACGTCCATGACCATGCCAATGCGGCGCTCAGCAATCCCATTTTGCTGCGGAGAGTCCGGGAGCGTGAAGGTCTGACGGATGCCTCGTGCACGACAGTAGGCTCGCAGAAGGCCAGAGGAGAACTCTCCACCTCTGTCCGAGTGCAGACGCAGAACAGGAAAGTCGGAGCCAAAGCTCTGCCTGAGCTGGAGACGAGCTGCGCGGATCCAGTCGATCAGCACCTCAGTGACATCACCCTTGCCGCGCAAGGGGAAGACTGCGGTGTAACGCGAGTAGTCGTCAACAACGAGCAGGAAGTAGCGCTCGTGACCCTGCCCACGGACGCGGGCTGGGCCCCACACGTCCATGTGGAGCGTCTGCAACGGGGCCTCTGTCGGAGGAAACTGGGAGGAGTGAGGGGCAGCACGCTGGCGCCCCTCGACACAGGGGACACAGGTAGGGCCAGGGCCCTGAGGAAGGGGAGGGAGGGACCGGGGGAGACCAGACACTAGAAGACGGGAGGCCATGCCTCTGAGCCGAAGCAGAGAGGGGTGACCAAGACGGTGGTGCCAGAGAAGAGTCTCGTGAGACAGGAGACGACAAGCACAGGGGGCAGACTCAGGACCAGACCTGGACGCAGCAGCAAACACCTGACCCGACGAAGCGACTCCACCAGACTCAGTAACGGGAGGAGACGCAGTGGTCAGTGTGTACAGGCTCGACCCCGGCTGACGGGTAAACGTAGCCAGGTGTCGGCCTGTGCTAGCCTCTGTACAGTGCGTCACCCGCTGACGCGCAGGAGTGAACTGGTGTACACCCGCATCCTGTAGGTCAGCACCACTCACCAGGTTCGTAGAGAACGAGGGGAGGTAGAGACCAGACAGGGTGCCAGAGGGAGCCGCCGGACACGGGAGGACTGTGGAGAAGCGAGACAGGACAGGACCCCCAGAGGGGTCAGCCAGAGACACTGCAACCGGTCGACTCAGCGGTGTGAGTGTGGTGCGGTCCCTAAAGAAGGAGCGAGACGCCCCAGAGTCAAGGGTGAAGGTGAGGGAGGCCGAAGCCGACGTAGTACCTGAGAGCGCAGACTCACCAGTACCTGAGGACGCAGACACACGAGCACCTAGGGCAGCAGCGTCGCAAGCACCTAGGGCAGCAGCCTCACCAGGACCTAGAGCAGCAGTCTCAATACCCGGATCGGGCGGGAAACACCGGTAACAGTCACCCTCATCACTAATAGACACAGCATACATGGCAGAGAGAATAGCATCAAAGTCAAGATCATAGATGGCAACACCCGCCCTGGACAGGTCACCCCAACGAGGGATCTCTGAGGCCTCCGGGAACTGGTGACGCCACGCGTCCGTCAGGCGGCCAAAGCAGCGCTGAGTGGGGTGGGGACCCCCACACTGCTCACCCGCACGGTCGCCGGTGCGCAAAACGTAGGAGCACGGACCAAAACCCCCACCTCGCTGACGCGCAGTGTACCACTCACGAAGCTGCTGAGGGGACAAGGTGTCACGACCACGCTGCTGCTGCTGGCGCGAGCCACCACCGGAGCCACTCCTCTGCGAAGACCCGCGACCAGCACCACCTCCACCCCCGCCGCCTCCTCCGCCTCCGCCGCCTCCGCTACTGCCGCCGCCTCCACCTCCGCCTCCGCCGCCGCCACCTCCGCCACCCCCGCTCCCACTGCCACCGCCGCCGACACCTCCGCCTCCACTGCCGCCACCGACTCCTCCACCCCCACCTCCACTCCCACCGCCACCCCCACTCCCCCCACTGCCGCCACCTCCACCTCCACCGCCCCCGCTCGCTCCTCCAGTGCCCTTGCCCCCCTTGCCCTTGCCAGAGCGGCGTCTCCCACTAGGGGCAGACGCCACACCGACCGACTCAAGACCAAGGAGGTCGGCCGCAGCAGCAGAGGCAACAGAGGGCAGAAGGGGGGAGGGGGAACACCCCTCAAAGATGGGGGTGCGCGGGTCACCACGAGAGGCCCCTACAGCGACTATGCTCTTCTCGGCCGCTAGGAGGGACTTCTCGAGGAGGTCAACAGTGAGAGTGGTGGGACAGACAGAGAGAAAGTGGTCCCTGACTACGCGAAGGGAGTCAGGAAGGCGAGTGACTATGTAGTAAAGAGTGATGTACATGGGGGGGGGGTTCTTGGCGCAGAAGTCAGCAGGGAGTGCAGCGCGGTAGCGAGTGTCACTAGTGCGGAGGTGCGTAATGAGGTCAGCGACTGTGGGAAAGGCAGCAAGGTCAGGAAAGAGGTACGGTAGCATGAGACGGCTCAGTGCAGCAGTGGCAGGGGAGGAGTAGCGCGCAACTACAGCGTCGTACAAGGTCTGAGCACTCTTGTACTGACTAAAGTGTGCACGCTCGGAGGTAGGGAGGTGGCGACGCACAGCAAGACGTGCAGCAGCGTCGCGCGTGGCCCACTGGGAGCGAACAGTGGCGTCGGCGTCAGCAGCAGGGGCAGTGGAGGCGCCAGAGGTGAGGACAAAGAGAGAGAGACCATCTGCCCTATCGCACTGTAAGAACAGCTGCAGGTCATCCACCCAGACCTCAAAGTCAATGGCCCGACCCTCAGCGTCAAAGACTAGAACACTAGGGGTAGCCATGACCCTAGACGACTGGCAGCGCAAACAGTAGGGTGAGGGCAGTGCAGTGAAAGGGCGCTGTGCTCACCAGACTGGACAGGTCGGGCGGCCCGGAAGGAGGGCGGCGCGGCGGCTCGGCGGCTCGGCTGCCGGGCGGCTCGGCGGCTCGGCGGCTCCGCTGCTGGGCGGCACGGCTGCTGGGCGGCTCGGCTGCTGGGCGGCTCGGCTGTTGAGCGGCTCGGCTGCTGGGCGGCTCGGCTGCTCTGCTGTCGGGCGGCTCGGTTGTGCTGCTGAGGGGCAGCACGGCTCGGGCTGCTCGGGCGGTGCGGGCGGCTCGGGCGGGTCGGGCGGCTCAGCTCCTCAGCGGCACAGGCGGCGTGGGGACCGAGACGGCGGCGCGCGGCTGGGACGGGCGGCGCACGGGCGGCGTGGGGCCGGGACTGCGGTGCGCGGCCGGGACGGGCGGCTCACGGGCGGCGTGGGGCCGGGACGGACGGCGCGCGGGCGTCGAGGGGCCGGGACGGGCGGCGCGCGGGCGTCGAGGGGCCGGGACGGG